CAGAGAATAGACTTTAAAGCAGCTCTGCGTGTGTAAAAGTCTCTCCACGGTCTCTCACCAAAGTGCATCTGTGACATGTTAGTGCCATATGAACCAACTCTGAACCGACTCGGACTCTGAGGAGCACAGGGACTGGCCTCCTGCTGGTGCTCAGAGTCAGGACTAAACATGGGGAGGCAGAGTTTCAGATTTATGCAGCTAAGGTCTTCCTGACAATGTTAAAATACAAGTTTTAAAGAGTTCTGTTTAGCTGTGCATACAACTGAAGTATTGTATCTTCAATATTTTAATGTACTCTGATAATTTATGATTTAAATGTTTCTTCTGTTGTTTTTTTTAAGAACTTTAGGTTGCCTTGAGTATGAAATGGGCTGTAGAAATAAACTTTCCTTTCTTTGCTTTTGTATCGTTAAAAATCTCATCAGTAGCCACAGCAAAATAAATAATTCAACAGTCAATTCAACAGCACATTCGAAAAATCAAACTATTAGAAAACAATGAACTACAACAATAAAACACATGAGAGTCATTGGTTCATAAAATAGCTAGTTTGGCCAATGACCTGCAAGAATAGTCATGATATTAAGTTGACAAAGCCACTCATATCCTGCATGTAAAGCGTATTTTGTCAGTGATATCTTCTATCTAATCTAAATATAGGTATAGGAGAGTAATGTGTTTGCTCATCAGACTGAGGTGTGATACACAGAGAAACTGCTAAATGTTTTTCCTGTTAGCCGCTGCCAGCACAGTGAGGACAGGCTGTTTTTGGGATCAGGACGCTCTCTTGAGAATCATTTTCTAACCAATTACCCACTTCACTGCTTTTGAGAAATGATATAAAGCGCTCCCTGATATCCAAAGCACTTCATCGCATTCATTTCTTTTCATTTAGTCTTTCACTCAAGGAGGTACACGCCCCTGTGTTAACGGCTGTCTTAAGGCTAACGGCAAATCGGCAAACGTCGGCAAACAAAGTCAAAAACCGGTTTCGATATTAGTTTTATTGACTTTACTTTGTTTGGTTTACCCCAGCAAAAAAGCCTTTGGGGGCATCATGAGGCTGAAGAGGAGGATCTACCCCGACACACACAGTTTCAGGCAGAACTGAGTCAGGGACAGAGAGTGTTAAATAACTAAGCAGACTCAGTAAAACCAGTAAAAGTCCAGGACTAGTCCAGGACCGGTCCGGGCTTTACCTGCCATAGAATGTTGGTTACCACCATGGATCTATTATAATAACTGGATAGGGTTTTACTAGCTTGTAGCTGAATAACGTGCTCGGGGGATTCTCGCGGTACTGCAGACTAGACCAGACTAAATTCACGTGGGCTACCCAGAAATTTTCCCCATAGGACTCAATGCATATTAAAACAGCTCGACCTCAGCTGACAGAGAACCTACAGCTTTCATAAAGGTCGGATTTTGTGGGGATTTTAGTGTCCCTTGTCATCCTGAACTTTTTTTCTTCGTAAGTCCTTCGGTTTTGTTTAAATCCACACTTTAGTTCCACAAACTCTGCTCGTCTGGCTCTCGCTCTAACTCCTGCTCTGATGAACTGCTCTGATTGGTCAGAGCGTGGCCGAGCCCCTCTGTGCACGTGCGTGAGACCCGGTGTGAGACCCACACACGCGTTTTTGACGCAACGCATTATGGGAGATCATCCACTGCGCAGAACCGGGAGGACCAGACGATGCCCAAATACAGGCGAGTTTACCATAGATCTTTGCGAGTTTCAGGCAACTTCCGCTAATCTTTCAGCCCCCATGCTGTCACAAAGCGCCACTGAGCACAACCATTCATTTGAATAGGGCGCCATCTTGGATTGCCGGGGCTTGGTTACCACGCAAATGAAAATGGCATAATGACTGCTCTGAGAGCTATAGGATTACAATGCGAGTAAGATTGACTCACATTCTTTCACAATGAAGGAATAAAAGATAATTATTTGAAAATAAGGACATAGAAACTAAAAATAAAAACAGAAAAAGTCATGAAGTTATGAAGACCAGTCATGTACATGAGATGAGAAGTTACAATTCCAAAACTGGATGGATGTGTTTCTGCTGCTGGACACCTGAATTTCCCTGACAGGGATCGATAAAGAATCTAAATCTATGTAAGAAAATGGATGAAGATTGTGCACCAAAAGAGAAACATTTCAGGTCTTTGAAATCAGAAGGAGTGGTATAATCCATTGTGTGGTGTAAATCCCCATCTAAGTAAAACATTCTCATAAAAAATATAAAAACATGTCTTTCATCATCACATATTACATTCCAGTGTTCTGTATCCAAACGTGAACATGTGAAAGTGCTGAATGGCCCGTGCAGGCCTCCCTCGCGACTTCAAAGTCAGGGTGATGATGTGAGCTGGCAGTCTGTCACAAACTGGGCACAGTGGAGGGCTCTGTTCCTGGAGACACACGCAGGCGTCCTGGATTATATTCACATCTACTTCATGTGACTCAGAGATTTGTGATGTTCAGCACTTTACGCCTACAACAGCACCAGAAGAGAAACAGACTGAAGCGAAGGCCACACTCTGCTTCTGTTTGATCTGGATTGTTGGACATTTTTAATGGTTTAAGTGCTTACAAAACCAGAGAATTTAGCACCGCTCTATGCTAGCAGTGCTCTTATCTGTTGTAAGATTTGGCTTTTGGTTATGTTCAGTGTCATAAATGAATACACAGAACACATACAGTAGATCTTTTTAGTCTGTGTTAAGGACGCTCGTTACAGGGCTTTAAAGCTGGGGTACCTAACTTTATTTTTACATAAATAACATGTTTGTCCCAACAGAAAGACACATTGTTGCATATTAGAAATTAGAACGGTTATCGTTTGCATATCTAATGATCGTGGGTTTGATCCCTTCATGACTCAACTACTCCCTCCTGAAGTCTGCTGTCGTTGTGTCACTGGGCAAGACACTGTAGCTCAGAATTTAGAATGTATCTTGTTTGTTTGATACACGCAAATGGGCTTTTATTTTGTTTTCTAATGATATAGCTTTTCCTTTTTTATTCTTACTTATTTAATGTTGTCATGGTTTAGGTTTAGTTCCTGATTTATTTTGTTACATCCTGTGTCTTTAGTTCTACTTCCTGTTGTCTGTGTGTTCCTTCACTCCCTGTTCCGTCATTATGATTTCTGGTGTTTTTGCTGGATTTTGATTTGGATTACTTTTTATCAAATCCATTATTTTGCAGTTACGCATTTTGGGTCCTCCTTGTTTTTTCACCCACAAGACACATATGTCGTATTGGTATATTTTGACTTGACGTAGCTTGATTGCTGATTTTTATTACTGCAGTTTTATTTTTTTCTTTGCTGCACTTTGGGAAAACAGTTCATGAAATGGGGCGACAGTAGCTCAGTTGGTAGAGCATTGGCCTTAAGGCCTGAAGGTCGTGGGTTCAATTCCCACCTCTACACCTTCTCCACCGACTCCCACTGATGACTGCTGTCGTTGTGTCCTTGGGCAAGACACTTAACCCCACTTTGCCCAAAGCCCCCACTGAAAGATCAAGGCTATGCTCACAGTCAGAGAGCAGCCGTCCTCCTGTGGACTCACCACCTGCAGAGGGTCAGTGAGGGGCTGGTGCTATGAGACTTGGGTGGCATCTCTGATTGCCACCCCCCTGACCCAGAAATGGATTAAAAGGGTAGAAAATGGATGGATGGATGGAGTTCATGAAATGTGCCCTGTGAAAGTATGTAAAAAAAGTGAATTTTACTTTTACTGCAACCAGACTCCTCCCATATCCTCATGACTTCCTCAAAACTAACATTTTGAAGCAACTGAAAAACTCCTCACTTTGCTGACAAGCCCAGTGCCAGTACAGTAGACGTTTTCATTCCTGTTTTTGTGGAGCTGTTCAAACAGTCGTCGTGAGCCGATCAGACAACTCGCTGGAAAACTCCACACGTCTCCATGGAAACGCTGACTCCGCCGCCGGTTCATTCTCACCTGATTAACTGCACTTGTTCTGACAAATACAACACTAATCAGCCGCAACGTCTGATTAGTCTCAACGACGTTTACCCAAACAAAAAAAATCCACAGCCTTAGAGCAATAAGACATCGGGAATAATTGTCAATATTGGGGAACAGGAATTAGCGTCGGTTCTTCATGCTGATCTCAAAACTGGTCTGAAGTAGGCTGCTTTTTCAAAATAAAATACCAATCTTAATAAGGAGCAGACACAAGGAGAACATGCAAACTCCACACAGAAAAGTCAGGAGGTGGAATTGAACACTGTATACTGAATATACTGTATAAACTCATATTTCATTACTGTTTCGCCAAATGCAAGTGAAAGCCGGATGCTATCTCAGAAGCTAAGCAGGACAGGGCCTGGTTAGGACTGTGATGGGAGGCCTCAGGGAACACTTGCATATGCTTCATGAAAACACATTCCTTTATAGTTTATGAAAGCTGCTTGATATCAAACCTTGAACATGGTCCCTTATCTCTAACCATATTATTAACAGTATTTGCTTCATAATGAAACAGGGTATTTTTCCTATAGTGTCTGTCTGAAGGCGAGAGGAGACATGGGTGCAAGGGAAAACTCTCCAAGCCCGGGTATTGGGCTGGCATCGTATATCATCACCATATAATGAGTGAAGAGGCCAAAACTGGAACTTATCGTGAGTTTTAACAGTGACTTGGATGTGCAGAGTTTCACAATCTGCAGGTGAAAAAAGAGGTGAAGAGAGAAACTTTTGTAAGCCCCGATTTAGACATATGAGGAATAGAGACGGATCGACGAGCTTTTGTAATCTTTTGTTTTCTCTTTTAGAACTAATTGTAAAAGGGAAATAACCTTTCTGTATTTGAACCACCTGCAGTAGGACCAGTTAATTGGGTGGCAGCTCTGATTGCCACACCCTCTCGACCCAGTAATGGAGTAATAAAGGGAATGAAAATGAAATAATGAATGAATCTTGGTAATTTCTTTTGGATATTTGGAATGCGTCCGACAGCGTACCTTGGAGCCGTCCACGCTGATGATGCGGTAGCTGTTGCGAGTGCTGTCGTAGAAGTAGGAGACGCTCACGGCCTGTTTGCTCGCGGGGACCCAGTTCTTTTTGGTGGTGGGGTCAATCTGGAAGACATGAGCCCGGGTCGTGTAGATCGGCTGCTCCCTGCACACAAACAAAGAGAAGTCAGTCCGTGCAATCAAATCTACCACCCACAGAATAATCTGAATCAATTATAGGTATTTTTTAGTCTCAGTGCTTCAACCAATCCCGAAATGTGAGGTTTTTGTATCGACTCCACTCCGCTGCTGAGCTTATGGTGCACAAAGGTTTAGCACAGATTTTGATGTATTCATTCCGTCAGTATTTGCCACACTACAATCGTGCTGCAACCATGACAACATCCAAAATTGATATCAAATGACCTCACAACAACTACACAACATCACTATAATAACGGATGAGAGCAGATAGAATGACTTGTGAAAGAGCTATTGGGGAGGCGGCGTTTCAGATTTATGCAGCTAAGTCTTCATGAAACTGCATGAGACGAGGTTCTACTCTGGCAATGTTCGAATCCAGGTTGAAATAGCTCTGTTTAGCTGTGCATACACCTGAAGGACTGAAGGCTCACTCTTTTTAATGTACTGTGATTATTTATGATATTAATGCCTATTAGCAATATTGCTAATGATATACAAGACATTTTTATTTAAGTCGTACTCTTTGCCTCTGTCAGGGTAAAATGGATCGTTTTAGTTAGTTAGAAAGTTAGATAGTTATTTTTGTACAGGCCTAAATCACAGCAGTCATTACGGAGGACTAAGTTGTTGATTCACCAACAACAGATCAGAGAATTCAGTAGTTGGAACACAGCACATACAATTATAACAACCACATAGAAGCCATTAGTCCTAAGGGAGCGGGATGATCACTGTCCATAACTGTTAATTAACGCTCTTAACTAAAAGAGTCAGATTTTTTCATTTTCAGCAAAGCTCGAAAATAACAATCACATTTTGGAGGTGATCCACAGCACTGCCTGGATCCAGCCTTTTTTTAAGAAATTAAGTTGTACCTTTTAGCAGAGGTCTGATGTCTACAAGTACATTTAAAAAATAATAATAATTGTGTTCCAAGTAGTATTTTAGGTTCTTTATTAATTTGGACAACTCGTATATTCCAAAATGGGAAAACTGGGAAAAAATTGGAAAAAAATGGGAAAACTCTCCAACATTGTGGACTAACCGTGGCACCAACATGATGAGCGCTGTAAGTTATGATAACTCTGATTAGTTTTATAGAAATGAATGGACTGAATACTTTTCTGCCCCAGGTTAAAAATGCAAATATTAGATTTTAGCGCTACTTGACCCTCAACTTGATGGATTGAAGCCGCTGAAGGACATCTATGCATTTCCAGTTTAATTGTTTATGTAATTACTGTTAAATGTCTATTTGGCGTGAGATAAGGCATGTGATTTGGCCCCACTTAGTGACACATTTCCGGCATCATTTATAACTTAACTTTTACAGAATTTGCACCAGTTCCCAATACAATCTTTTGCTGCCACCATGACGGGCCCCCACAGAGAAACACTGGTGATAATGTAACACAAACACCAAACTCTCACAACATCCTGCAGCCATTAGCGCTGGTCTGTGCCTCACCAGCTCCTCATCGAGTGGCTCAACACTACAGAGATGCAGTGGGGGGGGGGAATCTGTGAGCTCATGGAAACATTCCTCAGACGTATGAGATAAACTTTCACTCGAGATCGCCACACCAAACTATGGAGTAAGCACTATGTAGGCGTAGATTAACTTACGCTTATATATTTATCATCAAATTAAACACATCAATTCTTTCGGAGCGATAGAGCAGATAGGACCAACGTCAGCAGATTAAATAAATGTGGGATGCTATACAGTATTACCCTGTCTGACTGTACAATAAGTCACTTTAAGTCACTTGCACTAGGACTAAATAACCTGCACTACTATTGCCACTGTTTCTTTAATTGTACATTATATATCCTGAACAGAACAGACTATATTTTTTGCCTTCAATATGTTTGTCTGACTGATTCTATCAATGCCAAATGTGACATGTAAATTCCTCCTGTGTGAAATAAATAAAGTCTATCTTATCTTATCTGTCAGCAAAGAGTAAAATGCCTTTGTTGTGAGAAAGTTGTAGGCGTAGACGCTCCATGACTTTTACTCATCTGCATTCTCAACATGTCATTCATCTTACAATTAAGGTGTGTCTATCTATCCGCAGCATATTTAAATTGAGCTCAAGATGAACATAACTGCAGTTTTCTGTTCAGCACAACGCCATAACGTCATTTGTCACCTGGGTTTAGGGGCCTTTGTGCCATATTAACCTGATACCATTGATAGCCTTAATGTGGAAGAAGCCAATTTGAACATAAGCTACTGTAGCATGGAGCCAAATTTCTTATATGGGCATTTGTTAATTTATTATGAATGGGCAGCTTGCTAACACACAAGACAATATCAAAATATAAACACCAGGATAACAAAGAACACTAAACCACCTATTTTTAAGCATAAGTCATCATAGACTGTAAATATTAACGGACGTAGTCACGCCCATCTTCGCCGTTCTAACTAATGTGCCACAACTTCCGCGGTCTATGGGCAGTTTCAAAATGGCCATGGGGGCTGGAAAATGTGAAAAATCTGCGCATGCGTCAGTCGGCACGAGCCCCATTCATTTAACGAGTGCCTTCAAAAAATTACAGCGACTAAACTAGATTGGTCCAAAAAAATTGGAGCAAACCTTTACTCATAAGCAATTCCCTAATAGGCCTATAAGCATTAGCATTAGCAAGTTAGCATTGTCCATATATACGCAGCCTATGCCTGATATCAACCCAACAAGAATATCACATTGGATTTTAAGCCTGGAAAACTCCGGAGGGGATATTGAGGAGATGAGAATGCATTTCAAAAGCACTTCAGTGGAAGATCAGTTTAATTATAAAAAGGTGAGAGCAGAAGTCTGATGTCTTCATAAGGAGTAATCAGCTGTAGTGTCCACAGGGGAGAGCGAAGCAGACGAGCGAAACTACTGATTACGTTCAAGTGATGTTGACATTTTAAAGCATCTCAGAAACAAAGATACTGTATGTTCTTGTTCTAGGACTGCAACTAAGAAACAAACAAACGAAACATTTTTCTAAATGATCAACTCTGAGGAGCACAGGGACTGGCCTTCTGCTGGTGCCCAGAATCAGGACTAAACATAGTGAGGCAGCGTTTCAGATTTATGCAGCTAAAATCTGGAACAATATTCTTGAAAATGTGAGACAAGCTACTTTGAAAATGTTCAAATCCAGAATAAAACAGTTCTGTTTAGCCGTGCACACAACTGTATCTTCACTCTTTTTAATTTTCTGTGATTATTTATGATCTTAATGCCTTTGATCTTAAAACACTTTGAGTTGCCTTGTGTATGAACTGTGCTACAAATAAACTTGCCTTGCCTATAGTCTAGTGGTAACAAAGCTTTAGGTCTTGATTACTCACACCCTGAGAAATATTGATTATTTTCATTCTTTTAATGTATTGTTTAGAACACACAAAGCAGGTATGACCTGACAACAGTTTGACACTGGTGAAGCGGAAGTGAAGCCACAGAGGACAGTTTAATGGATTGTTTTTCCAGACAAAACCCTTTTATCTTCAAAATGAGACATTTACACATTTATCGTTTCACTATTGATGTAGTTACCACTTTGTTTCAATTAAATTCAATTATTATTATAGTATATCCCTAAATCACATAAGCAGTCTTCTCTGAGGACTTGACAAAATTGTCAATTCACTAACAACAGATCAGACAATCAAACATTCCTTGGAACACAGGAAATGCAATAACAAACACATAGGAGACATTTGTCCATACTCCATAGTGATCGATTGCTAAAAGTAATACCCGAGAATTGAAAATTGATGAATTGTAGAACAGCCTCATTTATTAGAGGTTGGAATTATGTTTGGCATGTGGAGAAACAAACAGGATTCATTAGACAATAGTCACAATTAGATTCATTTTTGGGATCCTCACTAAAATGTTTTATCCGTTAGCCCAATACATCTGGTAAATATCCCATCAGAAACTTCACTAAAATTGGCCCCAAAAGTTTGTCTAATTGATGTTTTATGCATTTTCTACGGTGTTGTATATATGCGGGTCTGCAGCGTCCTGGCCCTGGGTGAAGTGAAGAGCTTGAAGTGTGATTTGGGCATAAGCTGACAGTGCACTCGCTCCGACGCAGATTCAGTCATGCAAAAGGAAAACCATTTCACATGCTGCATTTTAGAGCAGGATATGAGCTCACAGGAGAGAGTGCGAGTCATGCACCAAAAAGCCACAGATATTGAACGATTGTTTGTTTTTCTCTATTATCAACCATCGTATCCAAAAGTGTTTCAAATGACTGGAGAAGGAGAGAGACAAAAAGGATGTATAAATCATTTCATCATCATTTCATTTATGCCATGATATGCCTCTAGGTAAAGCAGGTGTGTGAAACTAACCCATTTCCTCAAATCTTCCTGCTTGGTTGGAATGAAATCCTGCAGCCACACTGGGGCTTTGAGGACCGGTTTGACATCCCTGTAGTGGTGTGATAGAACTGGTTCAAACTTGGGGTGATTCAATTTAACATGACCACCTCCACTTGGGGGAGAAAAATGATTTATTTGTGGATGTAAAACCACCAGTACACATGTGTCCACTAGTCACTTACTTTTTAGATCTTTGGAAATAAATATGTGAAATATTTTCCCCCCAAAAAATAACTGGTTCAGTCAAAGTAAACCAGACCAAGAACATTGTGTTGCAAAGAATGTGGCTAAACTGAGGCAGGGCAATTCTGATTAAAGCATTCTTAAACACATTTAAAACAAAATGAGAAAACGGTTAAGCAATGTTTTACTTATAACAGTGTAATTTTTGCAATTTGACAAAAATGTATCAAAATGAGTGAGAGAAACTCCTCATCAGCTCCTTACAGTTACTGCCACATTATTGGTTTAATTTCAATTCAATTCAATCTATTTTTGTATAGCACTAAATCACAACATCAGACTTTACTAAATCAATCACTATGATCTTACAAAAGAGCATT